CTGTCGGGACACTGACAACACTTTCCAATGATGTGTCATTTATTTCTCTGGTTTCCTCCTCTTGCAGTGATGGAGCCTAATATTGCTCAGGTAAAGGGAGTGAGGATTTCAAACCATGTCCCCAGTCCTAAAAGTTTTGACAGGAAATAATGACCTTAGACAACTGCCATTCTTTTGGCTTGGTTCTGCCTCTAGGCTCTTGAGTTTTGGTGATAAGATAAGAGAATCCATATGGTCTTTAAGTTCTATTTCACATGATTACGATACACTCCTGAGACTTGTATCTAGACCCAGAGTCAGGAGAAATTATACACAAAAATGAGCAATCCAAAGCAAGAGCTGACTTCTCTGCCCTGCACCCACAGCACACAGCACCAATGGGATCCCTCAAAGGCAGCCAATTTCTTATTCAAACCTCAGGTCCTTGGACAGCTTTTCAATGAATTCAGAGAATTAGAAAAGAGATTCTTTATTATTATGAGATTCACTGAGTGATGGGAAAATTAGGTTTCTAATCAAAAAGCAGCATTTGAGACTCAAGAGAAGGGAACCAGAGTACGGGAGTCAGACCTGTCTTTAATCCTTCCTCTCCTTGGCTGAGCATTCATTATAAGATGTGTCAATATTCAGTGCTCCATCCCTGCATCAAGCTATTTTCTTCTTAGGAGCCCTCTCAATAAAGGACAGTTGAGTTTTCCATCTTCTCTTTCCCCATTAAGGTTATTGGTACATTTAAAGCAAACCACACAGTTACATTGATGATTGGGATCTTGTGCCTTTACATGACATATCTTGGTTCTTGTTTTTTCCCCATTCCCCTGCCCTCCCTTCACCCCCTCCACCCTTCCCTATTTACAAAGCCTTTGTTTCCATTATTTCCTTTTTTCACATTTTTTTCTTTTCCCTTATTTCCTTTCTCCTCCCCTTCCCACTTCCCCTTTAGCCATTTTCTTCCTATTTCAGTCTCAATTATGCCATTTAACCTTATTTACACTTTTAGTTTTTCACACCAGAAAAGCTATTTGTTATTTACTCAAGTGTGTCTATTTCACTTGAGTATGCCCACAATGTGCATCCATTTCACTATCAATGTCTCTATTTTCTCATTCTTTATGGCTGAGTAGTACTCCATTTTATAGAAAAACCACATCTTCTTTTCCAGTCTCCAGTTGATGGGCATTTGGGTTGTTTCTAAGATTTAGCTATTACAAGCTGTGCTGCTATAAACATGGGTGCACATATATCACTATGGTATGATTCTTTTAATTCTTTCAGGAAGATATCCAGCAGAGGGATGGCTGGGTCACACATCAGTCACCTGTCATCCTCTTCTGCCCTGACTCAACCCTGTCCCCACATCTCTTGGATGGGAAATTCAGCTCATTTTCTTATCCAGCCATTCAACTATTATTAGCTTCAAAAGGACCTGAGACTCTCTGCCTCCTCCCCATGGTCTCACCAATAGCAGCTCTGTAGTTCTCTGAGTTGCAGCGACTCTAGGCCAAAACACCAGGCAGGGGAGGCAGGCGCAGATGCACAGGTGTTCAAGCCCCAGGACCCAGGGCTGGGCCCAGGCAGGTTACCTGTAAGGGAGTGTAATAGTGTGCTCCTGAGACACCTGAAAGATGTTTTTTGGACCTGGCATCAAATTCTTCATGGAGCCCCATGAGTTTATCTTTTTTCCCATTACCCACAGAAAATTTGAGTTATCAAATTACCTGGGAATGGGTTGCGATGCAGTTTATGTTTTCAGTTGTAATTAGGAAATTAACATAATTAGGAGATGGAGTAATATGGCTTAAAATGAGCCAAAGTAAACTCTAAGGCATTAAAGTAATTATTACTCTTGTTTTAAAATAGGTAAATATTAAAACTAAGGTCCCCATGTATTTCCAAAATCTCCAGAGCAACCCAAAAAGCCCAAGAAAGCAAAAAGAATCACACTGGTAGTTGGAGTAGTCAGATGTAGAACAGACATTTTCCAGGACATTTTGGCCCCCATTCCCCAGGAAGTTGTTTGATCCTTATACACCCCTTGGTTAATGCACCCCAGTGTGCATGCCTCCTTGAAACCCACAAATGTCCTGCAGCTTGGAAGAATGTAAAAATGGAAGGTTAGCATGATCATGGTAATCAGATAGAACAAACTTTCAGGGTTTAAATTTAATCCCATAAAGGCGGAGAGTCTTAAAATTCTGAGTGACGTTTATTATAGATGTTGCAATTCTTACTGGACCAATAGAATTCTACAAGTGAATCTAAAATAGATGATATCTAGGTTTATAAATTAAGAAGGGTTGATCTGGAAGGATATAACAAATTGTTTTGGTTTGGTTTTTTGGTTTTGGGTTTTGGGTTTGTATTTTTAACCAGCATATCATCTTAACATCAAACTAGTACTCACAAAAAGAGAAGGTCCAAAAACAAAATAAATATCCAAACAAATACACTCAAAACAAATATCAAAATTTAATTATATTCATAGAACAAGAAGACAGACTATTCTCAAAAGATAAATAATTAAAGTTTCATTTAAATCTGGCATCAAATCTTGTTTTAAATTTTACACAACTTTAAATTTGGTTTTAAGTCAAATATAAAACAGACTAGGATATACATATGGCAACCACACTGCATGGATTATATTTATGAAAAAGAAAGAAGGAAGACTCAGTTCAATCAGATAGCCTTTTCTTTGGTTACCATGATGCCAAAGAACAGATTAAATAAAATATTTTTCTTTCAATTGCTTTAAATATATAGACATGAAAAACAGAGTCTAGGAAAAGTGTTTTATGAAATCAGTACATTACACCCTTTCTGGAATGCTGACTAATAGATTCGGAGCTCAGTACCATAAGTGCCTGAACTTCAAACATCTTTCTTTTCGGCCATGTTCCATTGTTCAAATTTTTCAAAACCAATTTCCCCAGCCCAAAGTGATCATTGACAACTGCCTAATGAATTTAGATGTCAAAATCCAAAGCAAGCCTTAGTTGTCCATCTAAATCAGACTAGATTTAGTCTAAAATATCTTAAATATTTTACTGTTAAATATCCAAGCTGATGGGCCTTAGGTTTTTTGGTGTTGCTATGAAGTTTGTTTTTTGTGGTCATTGTCATCGTTGTTGTTTAAGGGACAAATTTCTTTTCTAACTCATAACTGCCTTGAATAACAACCATAATCCATCTTAAACCAAAGCTAGGGTAGTGAACAAGAAATACCACAACTGTGAGAAGGGATGAGTAAGCAAGGCATGTGGTTTCCAGCCGTTGATGCCAAGGTTATCAGCTTCTGCTATCAGTGCCTTCAACCATGCAAAAAAACAGAACAGTGAAGGTTTTTCTCACACAGGTTTAAAGCAAGTTCCAGGAAAACTCTTTGGAAAAGGAAAAAGAAAAAAATCTCCCCTCTCATCTAGAGCTAAAGCCAAAGCAAGGAGGCTGATTCTGGGGAATGATGTTCCTGCCCTGAGTGACTGGAACAGAATCCTGTCTTTGACTTGAGCATCTTGGAGCAGGAAAACATAAATGGGGAATTATATTGGTAGTGATAAGGGGATGTCTCTGAACATCTTATTTTCTAGGAAAGCCCTGATCAGCATGGCCTATTTACAGAGTGGTGATCAGCAAGAACTTCTTGACTAAAAAGTCACTCCCTCGCAACCAGCTGATTTGGTGACAGCTGCATTACCAGGAGCCTCACAGCTGAACCCGAAAACCAGACTCAGGGCAAAGCATTAGAAATGTCTTTTTTTTTTTTTCTGTTTACACACTCATTACCAAACCTTCTGTTTAGTAGCAGCTAATGTCTTTATTGTGGACCACAGAAAATAAAGCATGCTACAATTCAGCATAGTTTTCATTTCATACCAAGAAGCCAAAATCTTCAGTTATAAATACTAGGAGCCATATTCACAGAAGAAATTAAGATTAAAAATCAGAAAGCTATGACTGGAACTATATGCAGACCACCATTCACAGTTTGACTGTCTCTCCTGATTCAAGTTTAAGTGAGGCTCTTTCTTTAGCAATCACTTGAAGATAGCCTGAGAATCCTAGTCTCCATGGACACAAAATGTATTATAATTCAGAAACTTCAATAAAGTGCAGTGTGAAAAAATCATTACTACCTTTCTCAAAGCTTCATGACTTTCAGTTTTAAGGAGAGAGAAAGATGCATACAAAATAGCAGATAGATAATAGTTCAAGGTAAGGCATGAAGAAAGAGAAAGCTATTAGGGGACCCAATTACTAGGACCAACATTCCACAACTCCTCTTAGAGTAAAACAGGAAAATGTGGGCTTAAACTGGCTTTATATCCACAAATACTTTCTGAGAATGATGGTTGTTTCTTCTGATTAAAGACTCAAGGGAAATTGTATAATAGCCAGGCTCTTACAAAAAAGTAAACATTCACCTAATGGCAAAGTGATATACTGCTTAACTTCAGTCAACCCCTTCTGTCCATCAAATGGAGATGACACCTTGCAGTTACTGTAACCCTCCCATCCTCAGAGCCTTTGAATCAGTATTGCAGACCTTTTCTGATCCTTGCTTCTTCAACTGGCATAATGCAAAGCATGAGCAACTACCCTAATCATCCCCCCATGAGTTCATGCATTTAATCTAAACCAATTGGTACCGACAGATATATGCAAGCTGGCCTCAGTTGTCCAGAGGATTGATTAACAAATTATAGAAAATTGAAAGCCAGCTGATCCAGAAAATTCTTTGTAGTTGTTATATTCTGTCTCTGCTTCCACTCTTACCCCTAGCGCTTTCTAAAACCTGAAGTCAAACTAACTGCCCTTATTTCTGCTCACTTTGGGAACGGCTACTCTTTGATGGAGATGCTAACAAGCCCAGGCCACTAGCTAACAAAATACAAGGACTTCTAGATTATAGAATCTTTCCCCAGAAGAATTGAGATAATCACCACCATTAAAATTCCACAAAACTGTAATCATCTCTTGAAATAATTTGGTTATATTTGCAGGAATTCAGCCTCCTTCCAAGCCATCCGTTTTCGTCATGAAAAATGGGTCAAATGTTGCTTGTCTGGTGAAGGATTTCTATCCCAAGACTGTAAATATAAATCTCAGGTCATCTAAGAAGGTAGTAGAATTTGACCCTGCTGTCGTGATCTCTCCAAGTGGGAAGTACAGTGCTGTCAAGCTTGGTCAGTACGAAGATCCAAATTCTGTAACATGTTCAGTTCAAATCAATAATGAAACCGTGAGCTCCACTGACTTCGAAGTGAAGACAAATTCATCTGGTAGGTATTATCTGACTTCAGGAGAATGGAGACTATGAGGAAGGAAATTTGAGGGAAATAGAAGGTAGAAATGTGAGCTCTGGGTAGCATCATGTTGGAAAAAAAGACTTATAGTTTTCATCAGTGACTGGGAAGGAAATGGTCTGCACTCCTAGATGGAATCTAGTATATAGCCCATTTCATTTAATCCCCATCTCTCCTCCTCACCAGCCATTGTTTCCTTCATACAAATGACCACCCTACTACTAGAATCTGGCATTGAAAATTCATGCCAAAAGAAAAAGCAGCTTAGCCAATGATGGGGCTGAGAATCCTTGTTCTATATACATATTACAGCATGTCTGGATACTGGGTTCATGGTAACCAAAAAGTCTAGACCACAAAGCATGTTAACTGTATAAACAGCTATGTGGCCCTAAGTTATATCCTCTGGTCCCCATTTTCCTTACCTAACGTCTCCTCTAGTTTTAAAACCCTAAAATCCTGAGTCTCCTGGTTGTCAAAATAGCCTTGACCACTGCTGTTTGTTTCAGATGTTCTAAGACAAACGGAACCTACAAAAGTAACACAAACTGAAAAGAGCTGCCATGAACCAAAAGGTTAGTTCAAATCGAAGGGTGAAGTTTAAAATTGAGGGGCAAAGCATAGTAGTTAAAAACTGAGACAAAAAAAACAGATTTCAAAAGAGAACAAAAACCTGTCAATCAACTGGACACTGAGTCCGGTTGGTCCTCTTTGGTCCCTGACTGTCCTGGGAGAGCTGGCCTGGCTGCAAGCATGTGTTTCCAAAGCTCATTCACCAGGCACAAGCAGCACCCTGAAGTCTCTGAATGCTACTTGGCACCAAGCTGGGTGTGCCAGGAGAAGCATGGTCACCTGGGGCAGACTGGTATCAGTGCTGTAAGCCTAATTTCTAGAAAGGAATCTGATCTCTCCCTGAAGTTACTGTCTTCACTCTTGTTCAACCATAGTTTACTCCTCGAAGATGAACATGATGTCTCTCACAGTGCTCGGGCTGCGAATGCTGTTTGTCAAGAGTGTTGCCATCAATTTTGTCCTGACTGCCAAGTTATTTTTCTTTTAAGGTAAGAAATAGCTGCTACTTAGACTTACATCCACCCAAATTATGTTGTACATGGGGAAAAGAGGTTTAGAACTGGTAAGAAACCAAAAGCATTTGGAAAAGAAAAACACACAGAGACACATTTAGAATAAGGTGGGCTATCTCAGACATAACATCTCATAACCTATTAACCTTTTAGTTTTAAGCCAGACACAAAACTCATCATGTGCTATAAGGCACACTCTTTGCGGTATACCAGGCAATAACCACCACCTCCAGCCCAAGGAGAAAACCAAAACCAAATAAGGAGAATTAGTTTTCTTTAATGGCTCCTTTGTTTATTTGGCCAAAAGACCATGGGTTATTTGCAAAATCTTAAATAAAGCTTTGCTGGAAGAATAGTTAGGGGATGCAGAACCCATCTTCGCTCAGATGATGGGAATGCCAGATCCCATTCCTTAATCACAAAGTCCTGATGTATGGACCAGCCAGGCCCAAGGATGAACACTGGTAGTGAACTGCCCCATTAGCTACTCCAGACACAAACAAAGATGGGACAGAGATGTTAATGATTTTCCTCTTACTTGAATTCCATTCTCAGATATTCTTGAACATGGAATTCAAACCAGGGCCTATGAAGCTCCTCCCCTTTACCCTTTCAAATGCCCCCCAAATACCCAGTAAGTCCAGCTCCTATTTTAGGAGTATAGACTGGTCGACCCAGTCAGTCCCAAATGGGTGTCCAGCTCCACCTGCCTTTTTACTAATAGTCCCAAGAACACAGGCTGTATGGTTGTACAAATAGTGCTGTGCAAGGAGTCAGAGATCCCTGTAACTGTCATCAGCTCACTATGCTACCTTGGCCAGATTGTTCCTCTTCTCTAAACTGAGTTTAAGAATGACCACAGGAGAGCAAATGGATTTCATGATGCTGGCAGACATTGGCAGACTCTACTGATAGCTTACCTATTTCCATATGCGCAAGGGACAGGTGCCAATTGATTTGGGAAGTCACAAAGGTGCAGCAGAGTAGATACTAACCACCCCAAGCAACATCAGCCCTACAACTCCTTCTAGTCTTTAGGTCTGTGATTCTGTAACGACTTTCCTCCACTTGCAGGCTGACTGACATGAGGAAGCTACGCTCGCTGACAGAAACCAAAAGCTTAAAAGGTGTTGTCTCCTAGGCTTCTGACTTCTTGGCGATTCAACTCGACATGTCACCACTTTATGTAAATGGCTGCTAATCAAATCAGTTTCCCTCTGAAGGCAGCAAACCCAGCTCATCCTCCAGTCTTGTAGAAAAACAAACATCCTGGGCAATGGGGGGGGTGCGGTTAAGGTCCTAACTACTTTATAAAGGGATGAATACACATAAAAATATAAGGCCCATTTTATTTTACTCTTACACCTGATACACGTTGAAAAATATTGCTTCATTCTTTTTCACTTTCTTTCTCTCCCAAAGTAGAAAGTGGGAATTTACAGGTCCCTCACTCCAACCTCTATGAGGAAAGTTGGCCCTGAGAGGAGGAGATCAGGAGAGCAGATGTCCTTTCACCTACACCCAATATATCCACGCAGCAGCCACACTAGAGATGTTAAATGGCAATGTGGAAGAGTGGGACAATTTCAGTGCTTTCTGTTTTTCCTGGTACTTCACAAAATTACTTATCACTGCCCTAATACTCTCCAAGCAGGCAATGGGGTTTCACAAATCTCATCAAAGCACTGTCCATTCTGTTAGCAAAGACCAGAGTGAAATACAGAGGAAAGTTAATAGATTTAACATGCATGAACTGACTCTTGAGTCCCAGACACCAAACTGAGGACACAAAGATGAGTAGGACATGGGTCCTGCTTTAAAGAAACTCACTGTGCAAGCACTTTTAGAGGAAGGGAAAGAAATGAGGGTTCCATCTTTCCCCACAAAACAGTATCTTTATTGTCTTTTGCCTGCCAACCTGTACACAGGGAATTAGAGATCACTGGACACTGAATCTTTTGCCTGGTTCTTTGATGTTGATGGGTTTTTACCTTCCTTCTTAGCCTTTGTCTCTGTTGCACTTAATAAACTGCAGTGTGCACCTTGCCTCTGGCTTTACTCATTGCAGACCACCGTGGGGGGAAAGTCAACTCTGTGAACTCATATTAGTCAGCTGAAAGCCAAACTGAGCTTATAGGTCACACTGCGGCTTCCCGGGGTCCAAGCCTGAGGCTCCCACCTACGGGACACAGCTCTGGTTTCCTGTGGTTGCTGCTGTTATAGCAATAAACAGCAGCTCAGTGCACCTTGGAGCCTGTGACTCCCACCTCAGCAAGGCCACAGCTCTCCCCAGGTGCCCCTGCTTGGGCAGCAGAGCTAGCAACTCCACAATGTGGTTTCCTTAGCTCCCATGAGGTGACAAACAGGGGGTTATGACATTACAAGTGAGAAAGCAACTATCACAAACTCTGCTGCAACCACTGACTGCAAACTCCTTCATGGTGTTTTCACAGGCCAGTGAAAGAAGGCAGTACCTGTAAATGCTGGGTTTAGGATAATCTACATGGATAAGCCAGTTCAGCCCAGGGAAAACAATTCAACACAACTTCACCTTGCATGTGTAAAGAATGCCTGTTTCCAAAATGCTGTTTGGAAAGATTTTCATTTTCAGATGGAAAAAGTTGCCCCCCATCAAAAAGTATACACCTTATCTAAAGTTATTCATTGAAGCAATATTGCCCAAAACAGAACAAAGGCCTCAAGAGAATTGGGCCAACATTTCTGCTCTAAGAGCACGCAACATCTCCAATCAACTGGACTGAACTTCAGGGCTGTCCTATAGTTAGCAGCAAATGAGATCGCTTCTGGCCTTCATGCCAGCATTCAAACATCCTAGCACATCAGAGGGCCACTAATTTCTTCCACAAAAAGGAGCCTCAGAAAAGATTTAAGACAAGAGGCAGGGGGAGTTTGGCTTCCTTCAGATCTAGGGCCATTACACATGAGACCATGTATGGCTGTGTAACACACTCAGTAGGTGGCAGAACAGAAGTTCCAGGTGTTTGGGTGATTTTCCCAAGTCCTTGGCTCTCTCACACCATGGTCTTTCCATTGTTCCATATGGTAGCTCTCCAACCACAGTTTCAGGGGCAGAGGGCTACTGGGGATTGAACATGGGACCTTTGCACCAAGGTATATCCTCAGCCCTTTTTTAAATTTTGAGACAAATTCTCACTAAGTCACTAAGTTCCCCAGGCTGGGCTCAAACATGGAATCTTCCTACCTCAGGCTGCTAGAACGCTGGGGTTAGAGATGTACATCACCAGACCTAGCTGCAACATGATTTTTGGTATGCAGATAGACTGCCACCCAAAATGCCTATGGATAAAAACCCCTAGGGTGCAGCAGCCAGGAGAGCTGTGGAAGTGTAGCAGCAAACCCCTGGCTCCAATCCTAACCAGCCATAAGACTCTGAGTCTATCCTTCACTTCCCTGAGCTTTTGTCTATTTCCTGTAGAACAATGTCGATGCCTCTTCTGTTTCTAAGATTGTGTCTAATAACTAATATTCTGCTAGGGCAGAGAAGTCCATAGAAATGGAAGGAGAGGCTGAGTCCAAGGAATCAAGGTGCATCTGTTTCAGCATCACTCAGTTGGTTTCCCCCTGAGGAAATGACTCCCTCTGGAGACCCCACTATGCTCCAAATATGGAGCCCAG